GTGCAAGGTCATTTACTTCCCAGCAGGCGATTACAAAGTCACGGACACTATACCGGTGCCGGAAGGGTCGCGTATTGTGGGCGAGATTTGGTCCGCCATTATGGCTACCGGCGCGAAGTTTGCCGACGTAAACAACCCGCGACCGGTGCTCAAAGTGGGCGAACCGGGTGAGCAAGGGTTGGCCGAGTTGAGCGAGTTGATGGTGACCACCCAGGGTCCGGTGCCCGGCGCTATACTGTTGCAGATTAACCTACACGAGCCGGCGGGAGCGAAAGGGGCCGTAGGCCTGTGGGACGTGCACTTCCGTGTGGGCGGCGCTACGGGTACTAAATTGCAGTCAGACCTGTGCCCCAGAGGGGGCGCGTTCAAGCCCGAGTGCCAAGGTGCTTTTATGATGCTACACATCGCACCTACGGGTAGTGCACTCATTGATAACATGTGGGCCTGGGTGGCCGATCATGATCTGGATGGGCCCAAACAGATTAGCGTATATAACGGTAGAGGTGTTCACATCGAGAGCAAAGAGGGCCCGGTATGGATGTATGGGTCGTCGTCGGAGCACTCGGTGTTTTATCAGTACAACATAGCTAATGCTAAAAATGTTATGATGGGTATGATTCAGACCGAGACCCCCTACTATCAGGCATACCCGCCGGCGCCCGAGCCTTATAAACCGCAGCCCAAGTGGTCGGACCCGGACTTTAGCAACTGTCCCAAAGGGTCGCTGACCTGTCCCATGGCGTGGGGTTTACGTGTGGTTAACTCAGAGCACGTGTATGTCTATGGGGCCGGACTTTATAGCTTTTTCCAGAACTATGGCCAGACATGTCTGGACACCGAGTCGTGTCAGGACAGTATGGTATCCATCGAGAAGTCGCCCAAAAATGTGTTTATCTATAATTTGAATACAAAAGCGTCGGTGAATATGGTTGTAGTGGACGGACAGTCGCGTATCAAACAGGCGGACAATAGAGCCGTATTTTGTTCAACTGTCGGCGCATTTCAACTATAATCAAATTTCCCGATTATCACAATTAAAATGATTATGTTAATTTTGTTTTAATTAACACGTTTAATGTTTATTTAATAAAAATTATTTGATCATAACAAAGTTTATTCTAAATTATTTCAGTTTTATTTCTAATACAGTTTTTGTATAACAAATACAAAAAACTGTAATTTATTATAAAAAGAAATTATTGTTTAAAAATTAGACAATTAAACTATAATTTCAAGTATATTTCATATGATATTTACCTATACATAGGTTTCTACGCAATTAGACATTGCATCAAGTTCAAAGTTACTGATGAGTGGCATAAGTTGTCAGTACCTTTGGATTAAAGTGCAATTTAAAATATACTGCATATTACGATAATCTACATAAGAAATATATTTTTGTGGATTTCTTTTATTAGAATTATTTAAAAGTTGATTATCTATCGGACACTTAATATTTATACTAAATTAGATATTCCGTATTGGTTTGATTGATAATGATTAAAATTAAGTTTAAATACACTATTTAGTAAATACACTATATGGTTATTGGCGCTAATTAATTATCACCATAATAAAATGTTATGTATAAAAATAGCTCATGCTTTCATTGCAAATAATAGATTTTAATAATTATATAATGATATTTTTAATAAAAACAACAAGTCGTGAAATAATTGATAGTCGTAAATTAAACTAGTTCTTATTCGTAACAATTAAAAATATTGGTTCGGGTACAGGTTTGCCAATAAAACTTGAGATTTTTGTGTTATATATTTTATAACATTTATTTTAATAATGTTACAGATTGTACTACATGTGTTTTGTGCGCTATGCACTAATCGAAAGAACTGTGTATTATTTGGTTATTATAGTTTTATCAACTATATTTTAATGTAAATGTTTAAACACAATAATCATGTAAAGGTATAATGAAAGTTACCATAAATTAAATACTATTTCTATTCAAATAAATAATTTCATCTATTTTTGCAATAAATTCAATAGAATTTAAATACCATTTCAATTACTGTAACCTAAATAATGTACACAAACACTGTCGACCCTAACCCATACCTACTGTATACACATTCCCAGAATAAACTGGACATCGAGTGACCCAATTGTCACCCTATTTAAGGTCCACTCAATACAACACATTCATGCAGTCATCAAAAATGTAGTCAAAATACACTTTCACACTATTTGTGTGATTACAATAAATTGTAACTTTTTATAAATTGTGTCTTTAAATAAAATTAATTACAAGTTAAAGAGTAAAACGACTTATTCTTTACAATCATTATAATTTTTTATTAATCATTTAATATATGCTACTTATATTTGTAATTTTGCATAATGGTACTTAATCATTATATCATGTATAGGCAAACCGTTCGGATGCTTTTTGGATGCTTTTTACATAGTTTTGTGCACAATAATGACTATTACAACAAATTGTTCATTTTAAAGCATAAGTTTAATACTATATGTTAAGATTCTCTGACTAATTCATGAATTTTGTTTAGTCTGCATATTAAATGACTCATTTTTTGGTTTCCTTAATCATGTATGTTATTTTAATTATGATACTTAATAAAAACTAATTAAATATATAAACTTGTACTTATTAATTTAAGCATTTATATAAATATTTAAACTAGCTTAAATAAATATATGACCTATCATAATTTATAAAATAAACGTATATTTTTATTTCATTAAAAGTGTAATGTCATTTGATAAACACAAAATAATATAATAGTGTGAAATCCGGCAATCCGATAAAGGTGGTTTTAAGTTATTATTATACTTTGACATCTCCTCTACAGAATAGCATACCCGCCCCACTCCGACCCCCCGCCAGTTAGACACAAACCGGGACCAATCGATTTTACCCAAAGATTTTTGTGTTCTAATCACGTGATCTCAATAATTTTTTAATACAAAAAACTAGACATATACAATATAACATGATTAGTTAAAAATTATAAGCTAACGTGTATTAATTATTAAAATTTTTAAAACATGAATTGCAAATTAGCATGGATTGTTTAATCATGTATTTGCGTAAATATTTGCTTAATAATTAATTGTGTAATTTTTGAAAATATACAGTATATAAATGCTAAATAGCTTACTTGATTTGATCAAAGCAAATTCACTGACAAAATAAGCTAGTTCAAACATATTATCGTTTAAATAATCATCATTATAAAACAAAATGTCTTCCAATAGCATGACCCACGCACCGGCTGTTTATGAATCATCTAATTCTTATCCATATGAATGCGCTCAACATATTTGCGATGAAATTGTCAAACAGAATAAGTATTGTTAAAATATTATTAAAATATTAATTAATTATATTGTATTATAAATATGTTGTTATCTAAACAGGGAATACGATGTGATAGTAGACATGGGTTGTGGGACCGGGTATTTGGCCGACTTATTGTCCCAATCGGTGAAACACAAGCGCATCGTTGGACTCGACATCTCTCCACATATGATAACATTTGCCGAACAAAACCACAAACCCATGGATTCCGTCCAGTATTTGGTCCAAGACTTGAGCCAATCCTGGGATTCATTGAGTCCTGAGTTGAAAGCATTGGAGTCTAAGGTATCGCTAATTGTATGCAATTTTGCCATTCAATGGATCGATGATAGGAGTCGACTAATGCATGTCGTGAGCAAACTGTTGGCCAAAGGGGCAGAATTTGTGGCCAATTATACCATAAAACCGGATCTCATGACACTGTTGACCGACGAACAGATTAGTCAATACAATATACAGGTAAGTGTGTGCACAATATCAAATGATCATGATCAATTATGCATACATTAAACAATTTTTAACTACAGTTAAAAACACAATCAAAGGATCAACAATTGGATGAAATACGAAATGCTTGCGAAGACAATGGCTTACAGATCATTGAACTCGATGTTGTCATACAGAATGGTCACATTGACACAAATAATATGAAAGGTACCTGGTGCATTTATATGATTAAAGTGATATTTTATATACACATTAAATGACGATTGGTTTATAGCTGTTTCCGACGACTGGAATGGAGTCGAAATGTTTGGTCGAGTGAATACAGTTGCGGACAAAACGAGCGCCGCGTTTGGTTGCGTTAAAAATGTATTGTTTGATATACTGTTACGTCCGGACGCGCGCGCTCTCAACCCGCACGCCATCCACGAGTTTAAGGCCAATGACACGAATGGGCCGATAGTTCCCTATTTCGTGCCCTCCATTCGTATCTCGTGTTTGAAAAAATAGCGCAAACAATTAAAAGTTACAAAAACAAAATGATTATTTTTTAATTGATTATTAGATCTACTAAATCAATGCGTGATTACAAATTAAGATTGTCACAATAAAATTATTATATATAGCAAACAATTATTTAATGAAAATAAGTTCACACCAAACAATTAATTGTGTGTTTCAATAAATATTAAGAATATTGTTACTAAATAAATTGTTATTGTTAGTCAATAATTTTAATTGCAGATTTTATTAACAAAACAAAATAAAAAACAATTGGGTCTATTAATAATGTGGCTCGTATGGGCAATGTTGAGTCTATGTGACCAATAAAAACTATATGGCAATGTTAATCTTACATAACTAATGATTTTTGTACTCATATTACTGTTGCCATACTAATCTATTTTTATAGCATTACCCAAATTGTGGTTAACCTATAGATATTACGTGTAAACCTTGTTTAAATCAACTATTAATGTTTTAAAAATCAACTACAATTCTAATTAAATTAACAATTTTGTAAACTTAATTATATATCTCAAAAATAGTTTTATAAATAAATAAATAATGTGTGATATTATCTTTAGTTAAAATCATGTATAGAATACTAGCATATTTGAAGCTAAAATATAAAATGTTAAAATATAAAAATAATTGTACAATATAAATAACCTGATTAAGTTGTTTGGGCTTATTAAATTTCTAGTGATTTATTTTAAAAATATAAATAAATTATTCAATAATTTAATTGCAAATGGTCGTATTAACAAACCAAAATAAAAAAATTGATTTAAATTTATTTATGGATTATTTTAAAACAATTAATAGAGTTTAAACCAAATATCATATTTTTTATTTTATTTTACTAGTCAATATTATTTAATTAATTAAAGTTACAGTTGTTAAAAGTTTTAATTTTCTAAACCAATCGTGGTTAAATTTGTTTACATTAATACAATAACCAAATAATTGACACAAAAGCATACTAATAACCACTCACTGGCTATCGGCGCTCAAACACCAAGAGTTAGCGCCATTCAACCCAAACCCCGCCAAATACAAAGTGTATCGCAATGTCCGCGACTACGGGGCCAAAGGGGACGGCGTGACCGACGACTCGGCCGCCATCAACCTCGCCATCAGCGAAGGCGACCGATGCGGCAAAGGGTGCGGTTCGGCCACTATATCGCCGGCCATCGTATACATCCCGCCGGGAAAATAGCTGATCGCCCACTCATTACTGCAATACTATTACACCCAATTCATTGGCGACCCGATTAACCTCCCGGAGCTGATTATGGCGCCCAACTTTAATGGCAATAATGTGCACGCGTTGATCGTGTCGGACAATTACTATCGCTTTGGTCATAGACTAGCAACTTCAAAGGTCCAACCGTACATAATTGTAAAACAGGTATGTTGTATTTAAAATTAATTTGTTATAAAATGTTAATGTATAAAATTTATTGTATTATGTATACAAAATAGCCCACGATCTTATTAAATAAGAGATTTAAATATATAAGTCGTGTAATATTTTATAAAAACAACAAGTAGTTAAATAATATATAGTTAACTAGTTAAAATAAATAACTATTTCACATTGCAAATTTCAAAATATTGGGGGGGGGGAACTTGGTACCCACAAAACAGTTTGATTTTTGTGTTATAAATATTAAAACTTTTATTTTAATTATGTTACAGTTTGTACTCTATGTATTTTTTGTATATGTCCAAATTGAACAAGTTTTTAATTATTTGTTTGTCATAAAATATTAAGTGGTGTTTGTATTATAACTAAAAATAGCCCATGGTCTTTTTCAATAGTATTTTTAAAAATGTAAAAATGACTACTATGATCAAATAATTTTTATTCCAATAGAATAAAACGTGTTAATTAAAGCAATATTAAACATAATTGC